AGAGAGAGAGGGAAGATTCTCTCGGAAAAGTATTCAGTAATCCCCTGGGACCAAATTTTACATTTGGTCCTTCGGCCAAATCAGTTCTGACGGCTCTGGGAGTGCCAGCGCCGGATTGTAAGCAATGATGCTGGGTTTCTCTTCGTGTCAAAATGACATAAATCCCCATGGACACCGTTTCCACGTGTTAAAAAATGACATGAAGCGCCGTTTCTATGAGTCCACGTAGAAATGAGTCCCCTCTTAAAAACTTACTTATTTTTGAGACGGATATTTGGACCGAGGTGTCATCTCTAACCTCGATATCATGAATATAAATAAATAAATAAATTTTAAAAATTAAAATAATAATTTTATAGATAAAATATTTGGGCTGTTGGTTTCAATTGTTTTTATATCAACGGCATTTTTGCATGATTTCATCTATCTTTAAAAGGTGCGGTATGCCCATTTGCGCCGGGTGCGGTTTGTATTGGTTTTAGATGAACCGCTCGTTTGCATCTATCTTTACAAGGTGCAGTATACCCATTTGCGTCTATCTCTAAAGGCGAGGCTCTAAAGTCTAATCAATCAGAGTAAAGTGCATCTTTAAATGGTATTTAAATATTGAAAGTTTTTGTGATAGCCTTAAAATACATTTCATCTTGAATCATATAATTTAAAGCTTCAAAATTAGTGTAGATCAAGCGTATCTATAAAATCTTGAAAATTGAAGGTCCAAAAATGCATTATAAGATGTACTATTTCCAAAACTTGAAATCTATTTTTTTTCTCATGTCTATGCATTTTGAGGTCGACATGATCCATTTGAAGATATTTGGGCATCAAAACAACCTCGTCAAGTAAAATTTTCAAGGCGTACGTGCCCTAATTTGATTGTTTAGAGCCTCACTATAAACCTTTTTCATATTTAAAATAGATATTTTACCCCTTGAGGCACTAACGCCTAGTGGACATAGGCAATTGCCGAAGCACATAAATTTTGAGGTTTTGCTCTTTCAATTTTTTGCACCATTTTTTTCCTTTATTTTTGCCTAGCCTTGAGTTTTATCTACAATCGCAACTCCAAACTCAACACCTTTCCCTATACATTAGCCAAACAAAAAAAAAAAGCATTTTTAGATTTTAAATTTTTAAGATTTCATATATCTGCTTGATCTATAGTATTTTTTAAGCTTTGAATTTTATAAGTAAAGATAAAAATATATTTTAAAGCTACCACAAAGATTTCCAATATTAAAACCACATTTTTTGACGCTATTTGAAGGTGCGCTTTATTTTGATTGTTTAGAGCCTCAACTCTATGCAAACCGCACCCATTAGAATGCCTTCTTAAGGGAATTCGAGTATGAGCATGATGGCCAACACAAAAATAATAAATTTGACTATCAAAAGATATGCAATTACATCACTCCAAAATTAGGTCTTAAAAGTATTTTGCCATTCGAGAAAAACAAAAATTGCCAATTCGGATCGAGTTTGGTGGCTAGACGATTTGAGCCTCCTCTCTTGGAATAGTTAATAGAAAAAGTTCATATGCTGGGCCCGACCGTATATAAACTTGTGCCACCTACCGGCCAAACATTGTTGGACAGTGATGATTCAAAGTTTAACTTTCAATCACCACTGTCTAAATGTAAGTTATTTTGCTGGAAGGCCCACATAGTAACCATGTCCATAGTTAATATTGCTCTTTTTTATCTTAACCCATTTTTCACAGTTTCGTGTCGAACAAAATAAGCTGAACTAAATTGGTACAATGGAAGGGCGATCTACAGTTTTGACATTCAAAAAAAATTATGCGAAAGGTGTGGGTGGTCATGGTGGTAGTGGGTGTCACATAATGACGTATTGGGTTCGATTATTGTTAACTATCAAAATTAATTAGTGTTAATCCTCAATTTTTATATTCTCATGGAAGAGAGCTAACGTTTTAACTCCATTGGCGAATCCCTCGACGGGGCTTTACTCCATGTATGTTTGGCTCCATGTATGCCTGGTGGGGTTAATAATCCTCTTGTACCAGTTATTGATCATCTTTGCGGTAAGCTATAGCCTCGCCTCGCCTCGCCTCGCCTCACCTCAATTATACGGCCCTTCCTTAGGGCCCCTTCTCCTTTTTACAAAGCCAAAGCCAAAAGATTTTGTGCTTATGCGGGAGTATACTATCCAATCTACTCCCATATTTTGGGAATGTAGTCTATAGAACTCGATAACATCCTCAAAGGCCAAAAAAGTAAAATAAAAAGGGTAGTTCAAGAACTCAAAATGTAAACCTATTTCTTTGAAAAGAATCAGATAGAAAAATTTAGATAAATCCCCAGATTTTAAATATATAAAAAGAAATTGTAATTAGCTATTTTCCTCCCGGGGGTTATTGTATATTTTGAACTCACTATACACCCTTAGGGAAATGAGGAAATTAAAAGGTTAGTAATTCCTGGGATGCTCTCTTTTTCTTGTAGTGCTCCCCATATTACAGTCTTGCACAGTTGGAGGAAAACTGGCATTATTTATTTTTATTCCCCTTCAATTTTATTACACGATAAATGGAATTAGAGAATATGGTTCCAAAATGCAGATTCATTGTTTATTGGTTAACTTAATTCTGATACATTAATTTAAATTATTGCATCGTTAGAACTTTCAAATTTTCAGCTGGTGTGGTGTTGCTACCAGGACAAAAAATGGCCACCATCTTAGTCAAATTCATTTGCTTCTTACTGGATGGATTTTCTGAGTGCACATTCATGGTCAAAGCTTGGATTCTTGCATTGGAGGAAAGGGAGGAATTTCATGATCCTGGTGTCTCGGCCTTCATATGGAAGATTATTGCCATTTGAATTCTGTAAATTCATCACAAATTCGCCTAGTTTTGCTTAATTTTTAGCTTGCATTCACCCACTTATTACTGAACCAGTATTCCAATTTCATGAATTTATTTGTATTTTCTCATGTCAATTTTGGATTCAAGGAAAATAAATAAGGTGGAGAATTTATAGTGAACATCACTATTTTCAAAACTTGAAATCCATTTTTTTCCCGTGTCCATGCATCTTGATGTCGAGATGATCAATTTAAAGATATTCGAGCATCAAAACAAATTTTTCTAGTGAAATTTTTGAGGTGGGCTCTAATTGGATTGTTTAGAGCCTCGGCTCTATATAAACTTTTTCCAATTCTAAATGGGGGACCAAGTGTACAATATGCTTTCGTGGGAGTATATTATATTGGAAAATTTTTACAGTAAAACTATATGCCAACCGATTTCATGTTCCGCCCACAAATATATGATTTCATGCCTTTAATTAGATTGATCATAATTAATTAATGCTAACAAAATTAACCAATGAATGTTTGTTTTTTTATTTTCATTTCACCTAGGTAATGCATTTTTAAATTTTACGAATTTCCGGAAATCCCTTGTTCACAAGAGACTTGAAGCATATTGATAATTTGATTTCCAAGAGGCCCCAACTATCGACTCGCAAGAACCCCTACCTCGATGGTGAAATATACTGCTCATCCAGGGTTGCAAATAGGAAACATACCTTGCATATTGTTTAGGGTTAAATCATGGTCGGCAATAAGTAACAATTAGGGTTTCATCACAAAATTCCTTGCCTGAGTTACAAATACGGAACACATTGTTAAGCAGTGCTAACGAAGGTATTTTTATTATTTGAATAAGTGTTGCTTAATTGTAATCCTAAATATAATCATGTTATGCCCATAGTTAGCAAGTCGGGGACTATCAATAAATCGGTCTACCATAAAATGGGAAAAAAAATAGTATTTATTTTAAACAAACCGAATGAAAAAATCGGATAAAAAATACGGATCAGCAAAAATACTTCATATAAAGATATCGCCAATATATCGGACTAGGCTCAAAAAATTGGATAAATACATATCAAAAATATACACCATATCAAACCTACTTAAATACATATAAAAAAAATACACCATTTAAATTTTTTCATTAAATACTGTAGCAAATATCACACCCACTTAAGTACATATAAAAAAAAAGACACAATTTTTTTTATCATCAAATGCTTTAACTATGATATAACAACTTTGGTTAATTATTAGGATTTATACTTTATATACATGCTTGCATTTGGGTTTGGGTCCTCTGTTTCTGCTTTCTAAAGAGAGAAGGCGTAGATGAGAGAATGAAAGAATGGGGGAACTGCTACAAAATTCGTGGAAGGAGTTGAATTTTTGTGAATGGAATGCCGTAATTCATCTTCTCATGTTGTGAGTCTCAGAGCAGATGCATATGCATTCAATATCGATGCGCAACCGTACTTTGTATTTTCAATATTATAGAAGGAACTGCTACAAAACTAGATTTACGAGCACTAACAGCATCAAGGTTTCAGAGAGAAACCACCACCTTAAGAACAAGATTTTGGCAAACAAGGTTCGTTCTACTCCGCATTAAGGTTCCTATTTGTTTTTGTTCGTTGTAATTTTTTAATGGAGTTTTTCTCTATAATTTGTAAGTTTCAAAGCTTGAGGTTCTAGCGAGAGAAACATGGCTCTTTTCATTTTTTTGGGTTATTCTCTATAAAATCAGCAAAAAAAAAACTGTGCTTCAATGGGGTTTTTCTCTGTGATCGGCAGGTTTCAAAGCTTGTGGTTGTAAAGAGAGAGAAACGGGGCTCTTTTTTTTTCTTGGGTTTTTCTCTGTAAAATCAACAAGAAAAGGAATGTTTTTATTGTCCCGGTTTATTCGTTTTTCTAAAAAACGCATTTTTTATGGTATTATGAAAAATACGTGTTTTTTTGACAATTTTTTCAAAAAAGCGTCGTTTTAAACTTTTTTAAAAAAGCTCCTTTTTAAAAAAACATCGGCGATTAATCAACGATTTGTTATGCCATGTAATCTTTATCAATGC